TGAGAAAGCTTCAAATTCTTTTGGTATTGTTTGAGTCCTTACATTTAAAATTATACACAATATGTCATTTCTGAAGAGATAAAGTAAAGAGATAAGTTTTTATCATAATGGTGATAAGGAATCTTATTTGAAGGCTTGGGATTTGAAGAAATAGATGGTTAAAGAAGAGAGTTAATGTTGCAAATGGGCATGTGACATTTGCCATGGTTCCCATATTCAATCAATATTTTAAATTGGTTATTATAGGTGACCTATACTTACTACTTTGAGTTAGGATCCAGTTACACACAACTCTTATGTGTATCATTTACCATTCATCTCTTTCATTATAAGTTGTTGAGATTTATCAACTTTTTATTCTATTTTTTGAAGACAATTCTTTTGTTCATCTTAAAAGTCGTGATAAATCTCAATCATTTATAATGGAGAAATGAATGGTCAAGAATTTATGTATGTGGTGTGTTGTTGTGTGTAAGTGGAAACTAGCTCTGCTACTTTTAGTATCAAAATGCTAAATATATTGATTTATCAGAATATTCATCTTGCCACGATGACAAGTTCCATTTTGTTCTCGAGGCTAGCCGACGTTCAAACATGATCTGTTTGCAACTCTATTCAAAAGATATTGAAGATTCTCCTGGGGAATCTGCAGCATCATCAATACTTTTTCGCCAGTTGAACAGTCAAGGAGGTGGTCAAATATCAAATGAAGCCAAGGTCTGTTGCCCATATGATTGCAACATGTTACTATTTGGAAAGATTAAGTGATATTCTAAATGTTTGTTTCTTCATTCTAGTTTCAGGATATTGTAAGACAATTGTGTGCATGGAGAGACTTAATGGTAAGTGGCTTAGTCATAGCCTTCAGTGAGCCAATGATGTCAGAGAAGATGATGACTTAATTTTCACTCTGACATGATTTTTCTCTCAACACTTAATCCTTTGAGGTTATTTTGTTTGAAAGATATGCTATCATTTTTAAAATTTGAATATGATGATAGAAGGCATTTAACTAGATTTTTGTAATGGAGATTATCTTTGGGGTTTAAGGGTACTAGAAAAAAACCCAAGTCTGATTTTAATTTTGTCACATTTCAAAAGAGTCTGTATGAAGTGTGAGCCTCATGGTCACATCTTTTCCTCAGGCTAGGTTTTCTTTCTATGGAACTGACCATTTACTTTTGATTTCAAATTGGTTCCCTTTTTTTTTTCCTTGAAGAAAATGGTTCTTTTATTATAATGTGGTTATGCTGCTCAGTTCATTTATAGCTCTATGAGTTACAAATATTGGATACTTTCCCAAATTTTTAATCTTATACCTCTAATTGGAGTCTGAAGATCTAACTATTTGACATTCAATGCATGACCGACACTTTACAATTGGTCTAACTTCCTTTCAGGCTCGTATACATGATGAGAGCACCAGATATGTATTATCTGATCAAGCTATTGTTGCTATTGCTGATAAAGCCCCTACGACTCAGGAAGAAATTTGCAGCATCGTAACTCAAGCTGATATGAATGTTGATGCTTCTTTATTCCCATCTCCATCCCCTCTTCTTTGCAGTCATTGGGGTGATGTCTGTCAAATAATGCTGGACAAACTAGGCAGTCTTGATAAATTTTTTCCAGCTACTCTTCAGGAGTGCCTCGGTCCACATGGGAGTTGTCCATTGTCTATCTTTAATTATGCCTTATTGGTTAACTCTCACCTAAAATTGACAACTAGATTTGTTCCCAAACAAAATGGAGTAAAAAATCTGAAGCAAGTTGCCAAAAAGAATTCACGTGAGTTGTTCATTAAAAAATTTTCATGCAAATCCCCAGTTTATCATAATTGTAGGATCTATGCTAATGATGGACGGTTGCTTTGTTACTGTGATCGGAGAAAACTTGAATGGTTGGTCCATATTTTCTATTTATGTTATTTTCATTCAAATTAAAAATTATGTTGCATTTGATGCAATTTTATGGACATGATTTAGGTATCTTCGTCGAGATTTGGCAAAATTGGTTGAAGAGGAACCTCCTGCCATATTGCTTCTTTTTGAACCAAAGGGCCGTCCAGAAGATGAAGATAATGATTTTTACATACAAAGTAAGAAAAACATATGTGTTGGCTGTGGTGTGGGAAATCACTACTTGCGTTACCGAGTAATTCCCTCATGCTACAGAGTTCACTTCCCTGAGCATTTGAAAAGCCATTGTTCACACGATATTGTCCTTCTTTGTGTTGACTGCCATGAAATTGCCCATGCTGCTGCTGAGAAGTACAAGAGACAAATTTCTGCAGAATTTGGAATTCCACTTTATGTCCAGAAGGTAGTTGATTCAAATCAAACCCTTCTTATATCTGATTTATCTGATCCAGCGGTAAACTTTGAGGAGTCAGGTGTGTCTCCTTTACAATTACGAGCAGCTGCTAAGGCTCTTTTGCGTCATGGACCAGAGATGCCACCCAGCCGTTGTGAAGAGTTGACTCAGGTATAAGAGTGTTTTTGCAACTCATTCTCATGATCTCAACCAAGTTCTTAGCATGAATTTTCTTTTGTTACTGGCTGACCAAAAAAAAAAAAAGAATTTTCTTTTGTTACTTATTTTATTTTTTTATTATCTTTTTATTGATGAAATGGCATTTTGTTACAAGTATTTACTGAGTATAATTTAAAATCAACATTGGATTTGAATGAGCAGCACCAATAGCCAATTCTTTAAGTCTTTTATTTACTTATTTGTTCACTGTTCTAAGTTGATTTCCATTTAAGTGTTTAAAGAGTTTAGTGGCAGGTCTGGATCACACTAAGACCTTTTGGATTTGAGAAATAGTCTCTATGAAGTTAATAAACTATTGATACTGTGATTTACTTTGAGATGATATTAGTCCATTTTTAGGACTCTAGGCAATCTCATGCAAAATGTTTTATGCATGAGATTTGAGGGTGTTACATAGTAAAGAAAAAAGTGGTAGTGTGAAACATGGTTTTGGATCTCTGTGGGATCTGAAGTGAAAAAGAATTGTTGAAATTTACAGGCATCAAGTGTGTGTGGAGTAATTCTACTACAATAGTTTTTCATAAACAGTTCTATTGTATCACTGTGGTGTTTTCTAGAAAATGCTATTTACACACTGTTGAACCTCCATGCAGAAATAGATTGATTCCTATTTATTCTTTTGTGTTTTACAGATTGTCATGAAATATTATGGGGGAAGGGAAATATCTAAGGAAGATCTGGAAAGAGCCTTAGTAGTTGGCATGACACCTCATGAAATAAGAAGATTGGAGAAGAAGAGAGGGTTATCTTTAAAACACTCTACAGGGACTGTCCTTCCAGATAAAAAACAGCAGGAAATTAGAGCTGGCAGCAGGACTCTGGCTACTATCACAGGCAGAGTAACATCTTCTTCTTTAGACAGTTTAGATGCTGCTGAAGATGTTTCATGTGCAACAATAGATGGTGCCTTAAAAGAGGAAACATTGGGCAAAACACAAGACATGGAGCTATGTATGATAACAGATTCTGATGCAAGCAACCCCTTGCCTTGCAATGATGTTAATTCATATACCAGTGAGGTTTCTGATACAGAAGGTGTATTTGCTAGCAACACTAACAATAGTTTTCAATGTAGCGCACAAGGAGTAGTTAACTCTACTTATCCTAGAAACGATGGAAGTTTCCAATGTAAACATAATTCAAAGTTATCTCTACTAGGACATGGACCTCACGGAAAACAAGTGGTGGATCATCTATTAAAGGAATATGGTGAAGGTGGCATTCGTCAATTTTGTCAGCGGTGGAGACAAGTTTTTGTTGACTCTGTTCATCCTCGCTTTTTACCCACTGGCTGGGATGTAATGCACAGGTATACTTATTTATTATGTTTGTGCCAATTTGTTTATGCTTTGCAGTAATAAGTCTTTTGGTGGAGCCTCCAGGCTTTGTAATGAGTGTCTTTTAAAAGAATTTCCCGATCTAGGATTTTAACCTTCATCATCAAGAACTTCTTTTGTTTTCACTTTCATCCATCAATGAACCATAAATCGCCATTCTAGACTATGACCATCGAGACAAAGTCCAGTACGTGTTGCTATTGATGCTAAAGGGCAATGCGACACAAGTTCAAGTAACTTAAGAAATACATAACACACACTAGAACTGCATCTTGCATAGAATCATGTATTTGCATCAAACTTATGCTTCGTGTATTTTGATTTCTCTTGTTAAGTCTTAAATTCTGCACATGTTCTTGATAGTGGTAGAAGAGAATTCGGTGAATTCAGCGTTTACAATCCTGCCAAGAAAGTTGCTGGTGATGGTGATGCAAACGATTAGCAGATGCAATGGTATGCAAAACAGAAGCCTGGTTCAACTTGTGACATTACAGGAATTTGGAAATGTACCATTATGAGCCTTTTTGCAGTTTCCCAGTGTAAACAGCATGAACTTGCTCCCTTGTCAATGCGTCTATTCATTTTATCTTAAATGTGTCAAGGACGATGGGTCTCCTCTTCTAAATGTTTTTCTTGGATGAAGGGATCCTTTATGATTGTAAATGCTATTGGTTCATTCAGGGAAATACTTGGATCCGATTGCATTTAGTGCACTGAGGCAAAATGGAGGACCTTTAAGAGAGGTGACTCACCCTTCCCTTCACTTGGTTCTGTAACAAGTGCCACATGCTCGGTCACCACTTTGTACACAATTTTGTTTGTTTGGATCTGCATTTGTTGTACCAGTGAAGGCATCAATTTATCTTTCATTTCAGCAGTGTTCTAGTTCCAGCTTCTAGTTTGGTCCAAATATTGAGTTTGGTTGCTTGAAAGAAAAAAAAAAAAAGTGTTTACACCCATTTATGCAAATCAATTAAAAGTCCTATTTTATGTGAATTTTTTGACACATTTTCACTTGCAATCTTTGAAATTTTGAGCAATGGAGTAGCTGTCATTTGTCATTTTTATTGGCAAAATTTTCATTTATTGATTAAATCATTTTAATTAGTGATTTAACCGTAAGATTCTCAAGTAAATCAAGAAGTTGTAAATCGAATATATTTTGAAACAAAAGCATGCACGCATGGAGCTACCAAGGGCTGCCATGTGACAATCATATCAACCTAGCCAAGCTCAGTTGGGTATGGTTGATTTTTCTCTAGATTTAACTCAGATTGTTGTTAACATATTAGCAGCAACTAGTTTGTTTGTTGCTGATTTTCAGGATGTCTCTAAAAATTTTCTATAAAAAAATTTAACAATTTGTGAACTGCCATTAATTAATTAGTGAGTTTTAGTCTAATCAAAATGGGGTGACAAAATTAGTTTAAAATAATAAAACAGAGCATATAAAAGACCCAAATATTATGATCAGTTTATTTTTTTGGTACTAACTTCCGATACCTGTTAGGTCGATTTATAAAAATCTCTTTTAATGCATGTTTTTCTATTTATAAGATTTTTTTGGTTCCCCATCCGGTATCCGGGGCTTCGCCCCGACTACTCCGGACTCGACCAGCTGTAGCGCACCAGAATGGTGGGTGGATCTCCCAACGAAAACTGCTGCATACATCTATTTATAAGATTTGAACTTGAGGTATTATTAAAAAAAAAAAATCCATTTTCAACTCAAATTAATAGGTTATTGATACCATTTAAGCCACGTACTATAGAATTATGCAAGGATATAACTTCGCGTGAATTTTGAGTGGTAGAATACTAAACATTGATTATTTTCTATATTGAGGTTGCTTTGCATATATTTTATTTTGAAGACCAATAGCACATAAATTTATTTTTAGCTTTAGAACTTAAAAAAAAAAATAAAAGGATTTTATCAAATGAGCTGAAATTTGATTAATTCAGTTGTGCATGTTGAGCATTTAGAAGAATATATTATATGGTGCTATTATTTTGTCTAATTCTAGTTTATTTGTGCTCGAACTTTGATTTTAGTCTCATGCAACATTTTATTAATTTCTTCCAACCAATAAAGAGAAAATAAGAATTGAGAGGAAGAACTAGAATTGAGAAAAATAATAATCTAAAAATCTGGATGTTAATAAAAGTAAGTTCAGTGCTTTTCCGTCTTACCTCCCAAAAATTAGGAGGAAAAATAACAAATATTACCTTAGTGCATCTTTTAAAAATAGGGTAGTTTAGTTTTTTTCGATAAAAAGTGTAAGACTGACATGAACTTTTTTCATAAAAGTAAAAAATATTTTTTTATTATATATTGTACAATTAAAATAAAAGAATATAAAATAAAAAAAATAAAATAAAATAAGATAAAATTAAATTAAATTAAATTATCGGTCCAGTTCTGAAACAGCTGAATAAATTTAAACGCAATCCCAGTGCGTAGCAACTAAGCGACGCAACAGTCCACTTCAATGGCGGAACCCAAAACCAAATACGATTCCCAGCTAAGGTACCCTATTAATCGCTGCACCATTCCATGAATTTCGTGGTGAAACTGAATAGTAATGAGCTTTGTTCCTTTTCCTTTTTGGGTTTTTGAAAATTTCTCGGGATTATTACCATGCTTTGCTTTGTAACCTTCTGAGTTTTTGACACTTGAAGTAGTGGAATGTAGTAAGCACTGGAGCTCGGGGTATAAATTTTAGGGAGGTTTTCGTAATGGGATGATGCTTGGTAGGTTTTTTTGTATTGGTGTTTGGAGATGAGAAGCCGAAACCCTTTGATTTTACATTTTAGTTGGGTTGCCTTGTTGTTTCCTTTTTTGGGTTTTGAAAATTTTCTAGATTTTTCAGATTTAGTAGCTTTTTGGGGTTTGGACTGGGGTAAAAATTTTTGGTGATTTTCATATTATGATTCCTGATGGGTTTTGTGCCAATCCATGTTTGAAATGAGAAAGTGAAGCCCTTTGATTTGTTTGGAATAGTTTGTTCTGTATGTGCTAGGTGATTTTTATTAAAATTTCAAAACTTCGGGATATGGGGGGAACAAGGGCAGGCAGCCCTTGAGAAAGCCAGCATATGTTTACTCAACTGTGGTCCCACTGGTTGTGAGACGTTGAAAAATCTTGTTCTTGGTGGAGTTGGAAGCATCACTGTTGTGGACGGATCTAAGGTGGAAGTGGGGGATCTTGGAAATAATTTCATGGGTCTGTTTCTCTCTGTCCCTGTATTTTAGTAATTTACTTTAAAGTACTGGTCTTTAAAGCACTGGTCCTTACCTTGTTTTGTTTTGTTTTTGATGCTCATAGTGGATGAATCAAGCATTGGACAATCAAAGGCCAAGTGTGTTTGTTCATTCCTTCAAGAGCTAAATGATGCTGTTAAAGCAAAGTTTATTGAAGAATATCCAGAGGAATTAATTGAGACAAATCCTTCATTCTTTTCTCAGTTTACTTTGGTTGTGGCTACTCAAGTATAGGGATAATGCCTTTTCTCAAGTAGTTACCATGTGGACATTGAGCATTCAATGCAAAAGTAGCTCCTGCATACCTGGTGTTTTATTTTTCATACTTCTGAGCATACTGAAATGATATGCTCGTTTGTTTCTTCAGAGAGTGTTTTTCTGTTTTGGGCCATCTGTGTCCTGTTCCCTGCTGAAGTTTACTCAAATTGTTCCTAAATCTGGTTTCTACCTTTTCTTTCTGCTTCTTCTTCTTCTTCTTTTTTTCATTATAAAAACTATCTAATCTTTTCTCCATATATACCCATCAATCCTATGTATTGAAGAATTGGAAATCTGTCATCATTTATATAGATATGTATATATATATATATATATATATATATTGAAGAATTGGAAATCTAGCATCATTTTTTTATGAGTAGGTTTGTCTACTTCATACTTTTTCTTTCTAACCATGGGATTGTTTCTTTCTTCTTCAGCTGGTAGAGGAATCTATGGCGAAACTTGATAGAATCTGTAGAGAAGCAAATGTGATGTTGATTTTCGCTTGCTCCTATGGCCTTACTGGTTTGGTTCGAGTCAGTGTGAAGGTAACATTGAATTTTTGAAGTTTCATGGGGACAGAACTTGTGGCACTGGAATTATAATATATACTTGGTATTTGTTTTGTATCCGCTCTAGTTTGTTACTTTTTTACTCAGATTGTACAACCATAGTTAATATGGAAAAAAACTGAATTTTCATGTGAATTGCCTGGAGGGAAGGAAGAAATAGATGGTTGTTCATAATCTTTATGAAATTGAATTTTAGTTAGAATGGTGAAAAATGAAGAAAATCTAAAAATGTTTCCACCTTTTCTTCATTACTACAGGAACATACTGTGATTGAGTCAAAGCCTGATCATTTTTTAGATGACCTTCGGTTAAACAACCCATGGCCTGAGCTCATGAGGTGCAGAAAATTTTCATTTTCTTTTCTTTTTTGAAAGAAAAATCTGTTTGTATTGTAGGTGCTTTTCACTGTTTTAGTGTTTTCATTTTGGTTATTAACTTACAGAAAGCGCTGGGGTTTTTCTCACTGTATTTAGATCTGACATGTTCCATTATTAAAGGCAATATGTGTGCTTTGGTCTAGTTGAAAGCATGCAAACCTTTGCTGTTATTATAATTCTGATAGGCTTTTACATACAATAGCTTTGCAGAAGCGATTGACTTAAATGTGCAAGATCCTGCTGCCCATAAGCACATACCTTATGTTGTTATTCTTGTCAAGATGGCTCATGGGTGGGCAAAGGCCCATGGAGGTGCCCTTCCTTCAACCAGGGAGGAGAAAAGGGAGTTTAAGGTTAAATATGTTTGGTTCATATTTTTACTTGCATTTTCTTTTGTTGATGTACATTAGTCTGATTTACTTTTAATTCTTTCCCGTTTTAGGAATTGCTTAAAGGTAGGATAATTGCAATGGATGAAGACAATTATAGGGAAGCTATTGATGCCTCCTTCAAAGTCTTTGCTCCTCAAGGAATTAGTGAGTATCCAGTCTATCAATCAAAAACTAGGACAAAGAATTTTTTTTTTTTTTTTTTTTTTTTTTTGGTATATGTTTCTTTCTTTGGAAACACAATGCAATAGGTAAAAGGGTTTGGGGGCTTGATCCATAGCCATAATAGTTAATTGACAATGAAATTCAGATAATCCAATTATGACTGCCACTTTTGCTTGGTCGCACCTGGTGTTTCCTACATTGTTTAGATGTTGGGAACAACTGATTTGGGGCTTCTGACCTTGTCTAGATACAGTTAAATTAGTTTTATGATAATTAGGATGAGAAAGCCTATTTATGTCATTCCTAGTGGAATGGAGTATTTGCTTTTATGATTTAGTGGACTTCCTAACTTTTCTGAATGAAGTTTCAATTTGAAATTGTCATAAAATTTGCTTTGCCTTTGTTGTCATTCATTTTTGACTTTGTAATCTGTTGCTTTTCTGTCTCAGTTTTGAACAAAAACTGCAATATGTTGGTAATTAGCACTTCCCTCTTGATCCCACCCGCAAATCCTATGCTTTTGCCTTCCAGGTACAGATTTGCAAAAGATAATTAATGATAGCTCTGCTGAAGTAGATTCTAATTCATCAGACTTTTGGGTGATGGTGGCAGCCCTGAAGGTGATCTTTTAATTCAACCTATTGGGTCGAAAATCATTTCACTGCACTTTCATGTTGTTTAGTTTAATGGGTATGGGTATTGCTTGTTGCAGCATTACAGCATTTTCATTTTAGATGACAATCAACAGGGATA